GAACTAAGATATACTAGATACAACTAGATAAGATAACTTAGTTCATGGTACCAACTATATATATTTTATATCTTTGATAATTACTACATAATTAACAAATTAAAACCAATTATGCATTACCTTTTTTTTTTTCGAAAAAAGAGAATCAAGCAAGAAACTTAAGTAAATGCATACAAAAAAGGTTCATGGGGGGGATATGACACCCTCATCCCCCCTCGTGAGCACGCCCCTGTCGCTACATCGAAAACTCTCCCACCACTCCTAAAATGGCACAAGGCGGGACGGGGAGGCAAGTCGCGCAAAACGAGTACCGGCTCTCCCTCTCGCTCATCAACCGTTCGTCGGAACACACCCTTGCGAATCGTATACGCACCACTAGAGATGTTAAATTTCAGAAATTTAATTCTGAAGAAATTTCCTATAGGAAATTTCTAAAATATATGTTTTTTAAAAATTTAATTTAAATTCAACTTATTAAATATAAATTTTTTTTTAATTAGCTTTAATCAATTAAAAATTATTCTTTAAATTTAGACAAATATTTTATTCCCTAATTTGATCTAATTTTTAAATGGTATCAGTAAATTTAATTTAAATAAATAATAATCAATATATATACTTTTTTAAATAGACATAGACTCAATTCTTTATTATTAGTCTTATTTAGTCAAAATAGTTGTACGTAGAAAATGTATATATTAATTATTTTGTTAAGAAATTTCATAATAGAAATTTCTTCCTCACATCACTACGCACCACGCATTAAGTGTCGACCACGTTTTGTTTGTTTCGTCGCCGTTTTCCGATCGCCTCGCCGGCATCGAGTTTTAGTAATTTTATTCAGCATAAAATATCCACTGCAATAATCACGCCGTCAGGAGTGCACTCATTTTTTATATATTAAATAAACGTCCCTCGTGGACATCACTGTTCATAAAGAGTGTTATACATTGTTTCACCTTCACTCCGCTTCAACGACGAGTTTACCGAGGTAAAAACCAGTCCAACACCGTCGTAGCCGCGTCAATCTTTATAGGTAATAATATAATATTACAGTAGGTACTATTCATATTTTTTTTTCCTAAAACCTTATTTTTAACGGTTATCATTGTAAAATGCCAAAATATATGTTATACACCAGTAGAATCAGGTGAAAACCCAAATTTTATCTGTCATGTTAAGGGGCCTCGCAATGGCATTGATTTAAGGAGAATCATTTAGGCAATTTCTAATCTTGTCGTCGACACCCGAGATCTATGTGTTAGTCGTAAATGATTATTAGTGTGTGTGGCGTCCATGCGGGTCAATTGTAGCACTCGCACACACATGTCAATATATAATAACATTGTGATCATGAAAAAATGCTTATTTTTCATTTAAACATACGATTCTAATTCCAACAGTACGTCGCAACGATTACCTCAATTTTCATTCTGACAAAATATTCTTATTTTCCACAACATGTACGAGGGATCGATCGAGGCACATTTTTAAAATTGTATTTAGTTAATTAAATATTTAAGTTGGAAATTCTGTATTTTTTTTTTGATTTTTTTACAATTTTTATTGCAATTTAAATTACAAAGATTAAAAATGTGGCTCGATCGTTCCCTTGTATATACTACGGACAATCAGAATTTCTTTTCAGAATGAAAATCGTGATAATTGTCGACACGTATCGTTGGAATTAGAAACAGTAGTTTTTTGACAAAAAAAAGACTTGGTAGTGAGGCCCCTTAAATGTGATGACTGATGAGTAATGAAAAATTAGTAATTTTGTCAAATTATATAATTATATTATTTAAATATCTATCAACAATAAAAATTCAAAAGTTAATAATTTTAGAAAACATTATATTATACCAATAGGTACCACCAGAGGCGGATTTCCTCTGTCTAGGGTGGTAAAAATTATGGATCGGAAAATTCTGTAGTGCTTTATTAAAATATATCATACCCATAAAAAAAAAATTGAAATTTGATTACTTTTTATTAATAATAATAATAATTGTATAATAATTAATAATGTATAATATATTTTTGTAAGTATAATATAATTTGAATGTGGCCACAAATGACTGATCAAACTCGAAATCCATTGCCTCACAAGTTTAAAAACTTTAAATAACTTTCAAAAAAATAAGTAGGTAATGGACCGAATTCAAACCCTGTGACCCAGTCACTATCACAATATTATAGTGTACGCAAACGTGCGGTTGACATTGACAACACCATACACGCACATTTCTGCATATTATACAATTCTTGAAAGGTATCGTAGACCTTACCTATAATTAAAAAGGCATCAGTACATTAATCATAAATTATTCATAACCAATTTTCATACATTTTTAAAAGGCAACAGTTAATAAGTTTATTATGTGTTAGATTGTTTCACTAGTCCACCTCAGTCCTTTACAGCAGTCACACACTTGCAGTTGAGTAAACATAGAACAGCAGTAAATCCTGTAAGATGTACCTTGCTAATAAACAATTTTAAAATAAAATGAAATTTAATTTTTGTATATCATTATTTAAATAATAAATACAAACTGCATGAGAATTAAAAAAAAAATTGTATTGGGTAAGTATTACAATTTACTTTGATTAAATTGTAGAATCTAGGTGTTTTACTTCGACCTATGCAATTTCAAATACACGAACCATTCAGTGGTTAAAAACTCAAGTCAATTTTGCAGAATTATAACATAATATCGCATAAATACCGTACAAACTCAATTTTCGGAAAAGGTTTGTTAACATTGACTAAATGTATATTATACAATAATAATATGTAGTTTAGCAGTTAAGGGGCCTCGCAATGGCATTGATTTAAGGAGAATCATTTAGGCAATTTCTAATCTCGTCGTCGACACCCGAGATCTATGTGTTAGTCGTAAATGATTATTAGTGTGTGTGGCGTCCATGCGGGTCAATTGTAGCACTCGCACACACATGTCAATATATAATAATATTGTGATCATGAAAAAATGCTTATTAACACTTTTCTTAAGTTTGGTTTCAGGTCTGTCTGTGATCAAATCTTGCGCGCTCGATTTGAGGCACTTTTTGAAGATGAAAAATTCTGAAAATTGGTATAGACCTTGATCTTGGATGACAATACAATAATCCGTAAAAAAATTTTTTAACTAAAAAGTAGAAAATAAAAAATTAAAAAATTTTTTTAAAAAACACTTTTCTAAAAAAACAAAAAAATAATGAAAAATTTAAAAGTGTGTGGCGCTCTTACACTTGACATATTATACCACACACTTTTAAATTTTTCATTATTTTTTTGTTTTTTTAGAAAAGTGTTTTTTAAAAAAATTTTTTTATTTTTCACTTAAACATACGATTCTAATTCCAACAGTACGTCGCAACGATTACCTCAATTTTCATTCTGACAAAATATTCTTATTTTCCACAACATGTACGAGGGATCGATCGAGGCACATTTTTAAAATTGTATTTAGTTAATTAAATATTTAAGTTGGAAATTCTGTATTATTTTTTTGATTTTTTTACAATTTTTATTGCAATTTAAATTACAAAAATTAAAAATGTGGCTCGATCGTTCCCTTGTATATATTACGGACAATCAGAATATCTTTTCAGAATGAAAATCGTGATAATTGTCGACACGTATCGTTGGAATTAGAAACAGTAGTTTTTGACAAAAAAAAGACTTGGTAGTGAGGCCCCTTAAAAGGAGTATTCAATTTAGTTTAATATGCAGTGTAGGTATACTTTTTTACAGGTAACGAAAAGATAAATTCCATAAACTTGGATAATTATGAATATTCAAGGCAATAGCGATAGAATTTTAAACCTGGTGTTGGCCAAAATGTTCGGTTTCTATCAAATTTTGGACACTGAATCAGCAACATTTCTAGGCCGTCATAATGTTCAATACACATTTTTCGTATTTCTCATTGTTTACGAATATCTCATTTCGGCAATTGTGTTCTTAAACGGTTTGTATTATTTCACAAACAACATTATCGAGGGCATGTTCTATTTTGGCTTCGTGGCAAACGCGATGTACGCAAACTACAAGATGTACCTCATTCTCTACCACTCAAAAGTTATATGGGATTGCTTTTTGGTCACGAAGTTTGATTTCACGTCTTACGGTGTCCAGGGCATACATACACTGAACAAGTGGCGAAATATTTCAATTAAATACACGAACATATACATGACGTTTCTTTTAACAATCTTATTCTGTTTGGTGACGGCTTCGCTGCTATTTAGTAAAACGTTTGTAACGATGAAAAATCACGATGGATCTACCAGTTCCTACCGCCTGAGCCTTCTCTGTTTAAATTTATTCGTCTCGGAAGAAACTTACAACACATATTTTTATGTGTTTCACACCATCGAATCGTCTGGCGTTGTCATTGCTGTGTTATTTATACTTATTTTTGACATTATTGTGAGTACGTTGGCCATCGCATTAACCGGTCAGTTGCAAATGATTTCCACTGCGTTCAAATCGGTCGGATATAAATGCCTTCACTCCCCAAATAGTAAGTACCTACAGTATTGACTTGCATGTATTAGAGAAATTTAGAGCGGGTAAATGCCTATTAATTATCTCATCAGGGGTGGTCAAGAGAAGAAATATTTTTTCATCTCGGATTCATTTTTATAATTTTACCCCATAGCACATAATAATGCAATACTTAGTATACATATGTAAATATTGATGAGTAAAGTTTAAAATATTAAATGTTAATATTATTAAGCAAGATACATAATTAAAGAATAAAAATTTCTGGGGAATGGAACGGTGATATTCTGTCTTCGTCTAACACACGTGGAATATATAGGAATTTAAAAATATTGTTTTCATTCCAACTATTATAAAATGATCTATTGAGGCTATAAGAATTCTGAAAATAGATTAAAAATATCTTCATGGCTACTAGATATCAATTTCCCGACTTTCAAATGTTTTTACTATGTTGTTTTTTGTAGTAAATGTTGCAGATAACAAGATGAAGTTACTTAATGAAAATATAAAATATATGGCTTTTAAAAATGAATTAAAAACACTTATAATAGACCATCAGAGCGTTCTGAAGTAAGTAAACATTAATTTTGTTTTCTAAAAAAAAAAATTTTTATTAATTTTGATCTACAATATTTAATGTAAGTTTTGAATATTTAATGATATAAATAATATAAACATATTATAGGTACTTGAAAAAATAATATTTTCAATAAATAAATGTATTTGTTACTTCAAAAATCAAGCAATGATGTCTTGTTGTATAATATGAGTTTTTTTATAATAATTTGTATCTTTTTACATAGGATATATGATGAATTTTTATCAATATTTCGACCAACAATATTACTGCAAGTTTTTGTTTTGTCGTATACGATCATTTTTCTTTGCTTCATTTTTATGATGGTATAAACAAACATAATGGAACATAAATATAATTATGTTTTTTCAAATATTTTATTGGTTTATATAGAACTCATGATCAGTGATTTCATAAATTGAATGTACTTAATGTTTTCAGAGTTTTATGGAAGAAGATATTACTCAATATATGGTATTGACATTGATGAAAGCTGGTTTTTCAATTCCTTCTTTTATTTTTCAAATGTATATGTCATGTTTTTTAATCAATACATTAGAAACTAAAGTAATTTCAAATTTATTTACCTTATTAAAACATTTATTGCATAAGTAGGTACATAAATTACAGATTAGTTATTCAATAAAATGCAATGTTCATTTTAAATAGTACCTAGGTATAGATAATATTTAATTTCCAAGAAATATAAAACAAAATTTAAAAGTAGGTAGTATCAAAAATGTGTATATAGTATAGGTATTTTTATTTTAATTATATAATGGAGCAGTAAAAATGCTTCAATCATCAACTTTAATAAACCTATTTAGTTGTAACAAAGTGTATCTAGTTGGTACTTTCCGTAAAAGATTACCATTTTAAAATTTTTTCTTATGAGAGTTTATTTTTAAAATATTTTGACTCTTGTTGAGTTAATTCTAGACATTTGGAACTTTTTTTCCTGTAAATAATGATGTAAAAAATGTATAGCAAATTTATATAGTAGTAAATTCTAAGTATTTATGTATAATTTAAATTTTAATAAACTTAAAATTTTAATTCAATAGGTTCCTCATAAACTGTTATTAGCAGAAATTAAAAAAAAAGTTTAACGTACATACACAATAATTTGTTATTAGTTAATTTCTTTTTATATGTTTTGTTTTTTTAGAAAGATTCAATAACATTTGGGTTGTATAGCTCTAATTGGACAGAAATGGATATTAAATTTCAAAAATTGATTTTGTTAACAATGAGAATGGCTAATGCCCACCAGAATAAATTACAATTTACAAGGACAAAAATTATTAACATGGAAATATTTTATCAAGTATGTTTCATATCATTACCTTCATATTTATAAAAATATAATGATCATAAATGAATATATATATTGAGGTTTTAAGTTGGTAGTGGAAATATTGTTGTCCCTAATCTTTTAAATTTACAATGTTCGGATTTCTGATATTTTTAAACATTAAATTTCCTTATAGATTGGTTAATTGAACAATCCTTGATCTTTTAGATTCTGAGTGGAACGATGAATGTATTGATTTTACAATGATGTGTGGTTTTTTTTTTTTTTTTTTATTTGGTTTTGTGTCTGTGATCACGATAAGTAGTCGAAATAATGCTTCGATTTTCGACTTCAGTATCTTGTTCAATTGGAAAGTGAATATCGTTGGTGCATTGGGGAGGTCAAAATTCCCATTACTTTTCAAAAGCGCCATGAAAAACAAAAGAAAAATTAAGGAAAAACGGGAATTTTTACGCAAAATCGATTTTTCAGAAAATTTAATTTGGTTTTTAGTGTAACTTTGTAACATTTAAAATGAAATTTTCACTGGTTGTTTATATTTGCATTTTCTATACACGATAACATTTTCAAAATATTTTGATTTATTTTGAACTGTTTAGGGACATTTTCATTTTTCATTTTTTTTTTAGTTTTTTTTTTCTAGAAATATCAATAAAATTTTATTTGTTGGTTAAAAAAACTTGAAAATTTAATAGAAAGCTCCTAGTATATTGTTTCAAAGGCAGATGAAAAATATTAAAAATCGTTAGTCACAGTTTTTTTTTATAAGCATTTAAAGTTCAAAAATTGACAAAATATGGAAAAATCACGAAAATTAGCAAATTATTTTGAGTTAAGAATTCGTAAAAATTTTTCTTTTTAAATCTAAGATTTGAAAATGTAATACAAGATTACTCATAAGTTTGTCTACCTTTATCAATAAAAAAATCTTTACCGGAAAGTCAAATTAAATTTTTATGAGCGTTTGAAATTCAAATTTTTACAACATTGGATATTCACTCGATTTCTCATGTAGCGATTTCCTTATTTTGTTGTAATTCAAAAACGAATAACTGTAGATACATGAAAATTTCACTGAATGTTTAAATTAGCATTTTCTATACACCATACAATATTGAAAATATTTTGACTCTTTTTGAGCTGTTAATGGATATTTACAGCTTTCAATTTTTTTTAGTTTTTTTTTCTATAAATATCAATAAAGTTTTATCTGTTGGGCCTAAAAGTGTAAAAATTTAATACAAGGCTCCTGATATATTGTTACAATATCAGTTGAAAATTATTAAAAATACATAGGCACAGTTTTTTTTTATAAGCATTTAAAGATCGAATTTTGACAACATTTATCAAAATCTCGAAAATTATCAATCATTGTAATTAATAAATTATAAAATTTTCAGTTTGTATAGCTAAGGATTGCAAATCTAAAACAAAGGTGCTCATAAATAGTTCATACTGTAACAAAAAAATCTAAAAAATATATGTACACAGTTATTTTTTACAGACATTTTAAATTCAAATTTGGACGAAATTACATATTAAAAACCTAGAATAACTATTTTAGTTTTTTTGTTGTGATTGAATAATATTATTCGTGGGTACTTGATACTTCTAAAGTGTATTATTATATATCTTTGATAGTATCACGGTTTTTGTTGATGTATAACGCGTTATAAGTACCTAATGGATATTGGGATATGATTAATTTGGAATTTATTATAGGTCAATTTTTTGTTTAATACCATAGATATATATATAATATGTCTTACTCCTAGACTGACATACCGTCTCCGTTCAGAATCGTTTTTCTTATACCATGATAATATATCGTTGAATTCAAATTTAATATCATCCATTATACAGTGATCCACTTGTAACCTACTGTACAGCAGAGCGACACCCACTTGCCCACCTTTTTTACTTTGGTCATAATATTATATAGTAAAAAGTAATACCTCTATTAGTAAAATAAAAATCAATTTTATTTAGTAATCTCCAAAGATATTGTTAAATTAATATTTAATAAACAATTAAGCGGTAAGTACGCATTCACTAAGAAGAAAAATAGTTAATATAGTATGAAGTTAAATTACTGCATTATATCCCAGGCATCAAATTCCACAATATATGTATGCATATATGGGTATCCCCATAACTATTTGTATAAACTCGGCCATCGAATATTTAAGTTTTAAATTATTAATGTTTATAATTAACATTCGCATCACTTAGCAAATTGTATGTTTAGAATAACCCATTTTAATACTTAATTTCAGATTTTTCTCGACTTAAGGGGGGGGCTTCCTGTAAAATTGTCTAAATTATGAGTTTTCATGCCCATTTACTGTTTTGATTTGAGAATAGGGGTCGGTCTGAACTCTGAAGAAACCCGTGATTAGACTATTTGTAGGATCATTAAGTGTGACGTTCCGGTCTCTTCAACCTCCTCGAATGATTCGTTCCGAGTTGTAACAGTGCAATCATCAGCGTAGATAAAGTATTTCTTTTGATTCCCAATCGGCTGATCATTTGTACAATATATTATATTGAATAAGATTTAGTACCTACTAGTACACTAAGTGTAATGAAGTCTTCATTAAGGCAGTGAAGTCCTTAGACCCTTTTTTAGGTTAGTGAGTTCCATACTTTCTATATGGGTGTCACCGGTTTCCGCCAAAAATTACCTTTCCGTTTTCCGCCAATACCTTTTTCCGCCAAATCAGAAAAAACGTCATTCCTTTTTCCGCCAATTATAAATTATTGAATTTTAAAGTTTAGGAACCCTTACGTATCATAATACTCAATTATATTTTTTGACTTATTTTGTCGGTACACTAATATCATTACTAATATATAATAAGTATTAACTGGAAAAAATATTATTATTTTTTAACTCTATAGTGTGCAATTATTAAATCTTTACGTAAGGGTTCCTAAACTTTAAAATTCAATAATTTATAATTGGCGGAAAAAGGAATGACGTTTTTTCTGATTTGGCGGAAAAAGGTATTGGCGGAAAACGGAAAGGTAATTTTTGGCGGAAACCGGTGACACCCTTCTATATATATATACAAACACAATATAATTACTAGCTAGTTTACCTGGATTAACTCGGGGTGTGAGATGTTCAAAATGTCGGCTTTTATGTAAAAAAAAAGTATAATTAACAGTCGCAGAATTAAAATATTAGTGCACATATTTAAACATTAGTAAATTAGGTAATGAACATTGAACTACAAAAAAAAAAATAGTATTTATTGATTGTACAGTTATAAAGCAAATTTATGTTATTTAGTGTAGGTACCTATTAAAGAATAAAAAGTTAGTAATATTCAAAATAATGAGTGTTGTGTGTTAAAGCCTTAAAGGTATATTTTGTAGTTTATGATGAATATATTTCTGTTATTTTAGTTCAATAAATCTAGTTATTAACCCAGTGGGCATAATACATTATCCAATTATTTTACACAATAAGTAAAACTTTATTCTAATTCAATAAATAACACTTTTGCGATATCACATGATTTTACAGAGTACTTTAACTATATTTTCCTAGTGTGATATAAAATATAAATTACATAATTTGAAGAAAAAAAATAAGGTCATATAGGGGGGGGGGGTGACTGCCATGAGGGTAACCCTGCGGCTTGAGGTAACCCATTGATTTATCTTCTCCATTTACTTTTCTTGTTCCGAAGTGATACTAGAATCGTCTGTTTCGTAGTATTAGCGAATTATAGATGTAAAAGTAGTAGACCAACAATTTTTTGTCAGCTTCGAATCTCCAGTCAGTTTATATTATATTTTCTTTATAAGCAGTCTGCCAGTCTATAATGATTGTATCTTATGAAGCACTGCGAGATTGATTAAAGCCGCTCCTGTTATAACTATTTGCTCTTGTATACTTTATCTATTTTTTCAACAAGGTTTTTCACAGTGCACGATCATCAATTTAATTATAAATCATTCAATACGAAAAATTATTCTCAACGGAGAAGGTATTTCAGCCTATATGGCTAAGTATATTTTATATTTTTATTATTTATATATTATTATGTATTAGATTGCTGTTACAGTAATGTATTTTACTATTATTTGTTATACCTATTTCCGGAGGGAAAACAGTAGTAACTCCTTAAAAATGGTAATATTGGTAAAACATAAACACAATACTTATAGAAAAAGTTCCAAAAGTCAAAACAGCAATCAATGGATGTCTATTAATCTATATATATATAAAAATGAATGTATGTGTGTGTGGGTGTCTCCATATTACCATGACAACCATTTATCCTATCCTATTAATATTATAAATGCGAAAGTCTGTGACTTTGTTACTCTTTCACGTAAAAACTACTGAATGGATTTTAATGAAACTTTACAATAATATAGCTTATACATCAGAATAACACATAGGCTACAAATCATCACTCTAGGTCCAACCATTGAATGTGCTCAAACGGGGATTTAGAGATTTGCGGTGGAAAGTTTTGTTTATAAATGGTTGCCATGGGTTTTTAAACTATTATAAACTATTATTGGTTGGCGGTTGCCGTGAAATATCAAATATGTGTATTCATTAAATGCATTTAGTTTTTTTGTACGCTGTGTTATTTATTTATTTATTAATTGAAATACGGGACGTGCCCAATTACATAGAATGTACATAAAGTAAGGAAAGTTACATAAATTACAAAAATACAATTAAAATAATGAAAAAAAAAAATAGAACAACAGATAATAATTTATTGCTAAGCATTCAGGAATAGTGGGTCCTCATTCGCTAGTTTCATCATACGAACAATAGGACGATTTACTAAATAGTTACAGCGGCTAACAGGAATTTGGAAAGGGAAGGAGCATCTGGAGTAAAAACTTGGAACTCTGAAATTAAGTTTATATAGGAGGACAGGGGAATCCACTTCACCATTTATTAGTTTAGTAAGGATTAGCCTGTTTCCTCCTGTCACATAGGGTAGACAAATGGAGGCACTGTAATACAGGTTGATAATCACGGGGTTGACATTCAATACGTAATGCAAAAG